AGAGGGCCCAGAACATGGATGACTCAATTGAGCAGGCCTGAGGCGGACTTGGGTGGGTGCTGGGCTGGACTCCTGGCCATAGGGAGCAGCCACCACCCTGCCTACTCCATCCACTTTCCAGCTGGCTGCCTCTCTGAGCAGATGCAATATTGGGTGCCTTGTGAAACATGCTCCTAGTGCACCTGCTGCCTGCTGCACTTTCAGGACTGCCCTGGGCTCTCCAGAGGGGGTTCCTGTGGAGGCTGGGCCTAGATTTTGAGCCCTGCCTCTCATACCTTGGTCCTCTCCCACAGAGGCCAGCAGCTTGAGTACCCTGGAAGCCCGTCTATCCCCAGGGTACAGCTGGGTTTGTTTCACGGCCCTTCATGGCGTACCTATTTGAACTGACTGCTCATTTCATAGAGAGGGGCTTGTCTTGCCCCAGCTCATCTGGCATGTCTAAAGCAACTGTGGGGTCAGAATCTGCATCCCCCAGCCCTGCAACATTAGGGGAGGCTGGACCCCACATCTCTGAAGGCCCATGGGACAGGTGCGAGCGGGCTCCTGAGTTCAGGGCTGCTCTACACGCTGTGGGGATCATGTTCCAGCTCCGGGCCCACCTGATGTGCTCAGGCTGCTCACCTTTGGGCCTGTCCTGCCTCTCAGGTATTTGGCTGACCCCGAGGGCCTCTCCCTCATCTTGACCACCAGCTATGGGCTCTGACTTAGAGGTTCCCAGAACCTTAGACCATTTGGCTCAACCCCCCATTTCTCAGCTGGGGAAACTGGGACCAAAGAGGGGAAGCAACTTTCTCACAGACCCCCAGGAAGTCAGAGGCAGAACCAGGTCTAGGAGCCTCTTTCCGACAGAGGTCCTCCCTGACCCCTGAGCCTTCTTTAGTGCCTCATTAACTTCCCCATAAGGAGACTGCCCTGCAGAGGCTGGAAATGGTACTATCCAGGGCGGTGTGTGCCCATGATTGTGCCTGTGTTTGTACTTGTGAATGTGTAGGGGGCCAGGGATGAGGGGTGGGAATAAACAGCAGCATGCTAGGAGCTGGAATGCATTCCAACTCACCCCCCAAAAAAGTCAAGGGGAGCCCTGCCCAGCACAGCACATGCTTAGGCTTTCCAATCTGCTGAATGCCTCTAAGGCTGGCTGGACTAACAAGACAAAGGATAGAACTTTCCCCCACAGATGGCAAGTGTGGTCCAGGATGGGTGGAAGCTTCTACAGCAGCTTTGGGGGTCACATTCCAGCCCATGAGCTGACAGTTAAGTAGAGAAGCCACCTCTAGGGGTCAGTCATGATCCAGTGATTCTGATGAGGACAGGTGAAATCCTGTCTCTAATAAAAATACAAAAAATTATCCAGGTGTGGTGGCAAGTGCCTGTAATCCCAGCTACTCCGGAGGCTGAGGCAGGATAATCACTTGAATCCAGGAGGCGGAGGTTGCAGTGAGCTGAGATCACACCACTGCACTCCAGCCTGGGTGACATGAGTGAGACTCCGTCTCAAAAAAAAGAAAGGATGCTGGAGGGTGGGGGAGTCTGCTGCTGATCTGTGTCTGTATCCCTGGCTTTACGGGGTGAACACCTCACCAGTATCCCCAGGACAGGAGCTTGGGAGTGCCATAAAACCTGGAGATCACTGCAAAACTGTAGAAGTCAGGCTAGCAAAGGTGATAGGATGGAATCGATTTTTATAAAAGTTTGATGAGTATTTGTATAATAAAAGAAAAAGAAGACCTAAATAATTGAGAATAATATAATCTTGGGGCAAAACTGGGACAAGGATGTACAAGGAAAGTTCACGATAGAACAGTCTGAATGATGCGTCTTTGTCACAGGGAGAGGGGGCAGGGTAGTGCTTAGTGCACGGCCTCTGGAGCCAGGCAATCCGGATTTGTATTTCTGCTACCACTACTTACCCTCCCTGTGACCTTGGGGAAAATGATTTGCCTTCACTGTGCTTTAACTTCCTCATGTATAAAGGGGAAATAACCTTTACAATAAGCCTTCTAGGATGAAATGAAATAATTCAAGGAAAGTAACAATATCCAAAACATAGAAAACCAAGTAGAAGTTAGCTGAGCTGTTACTAACTTTTATGAACATGAATTCCAAATTTTATATAAAATAATACCAAGTCGAATACAGTAATGTACACATACAAAAAAATGCATAATGGTGAATTAGATTTTATTACAATAATGGAAGGGCAGAGTCAATACCTAATGAACTATTAGCAAGCTAGCATCTTTTTTTGTCTTGTTTTTGTTTTTGGAGTTTTTGTTTTGTTTTGTTTTGGTTTTTGTTTTTTGAGACAAGGTCTCTCTGTCATGCAGGCTGGAGTGCAGTGTCAAGATCTTAGCTCACTGCAACCTCCCCCTTCCCAACTAAAGCAATCCTCCCAACAAGCCTTCCAAAGTGCTGGGATTACAAGTGTGCGCCACCACACCTGGCCCTATTTTCCTTAGTATATAGCAATTATCACACTTAACAGTAAAATTTTAGAAGGAATTTTCATCAAAGTTAGGACATAGACAAGGGTAGCTTCTATCACTGTCTCTATGGAACATGGCACTGGAGGTCCTAAGCAACATGTTCAGCTGATATATAGGAAGCTGCCTTTTTTTTTTTTTTTTTTTTTTTTTTTGAGATGCTCAATATCAGAAATGTATGTGAATCAACCTATAATAGAAATTGGCCAGGTGAGATGGATCATTCCTGTAATCCCAGCACTTTGGGAGGCTGAGGCAGGCGGATCACCTGAGGTTAGAAATTGGAGACCAGCCTGACCAACATGGTGAAACATCTCTACTAAAAATACAAAAATTAGCTGGGTGTGATGGTGCATGCCTATAATCCAAGCTACCTGGGAGCCTGAGGCAGAAGAATCACTTGAACCCGGGAGGTGGAGGTTGCAGTGTGTGGAGATCATGCCACTGGACTCCAGCCTGGGTGACTCTGCAAGAAAAAAAGAAAGAGAAAGAAATCAACAGGTGCGGTGGCTCATACCTGTACTCCCAGCACTTTGGGAGGTTGAGGCAGGAGAATCACTAGAACCTGGGAGGTGGAGGTTGCAGTGTGTGGAGACCATGCTACTGCACTCCAGCCTGGGTGACAGAGTGAGACTCTGAAAAAAAGAAAGAGAGAAAGAGAGAGAGAGAGGAAGAAATGGCAGGAGGGAGGAAGGGAAGGAGGGAGGGAAATCAACCAGGTGCGGTGGCTCACACCTGTACTTCTAGCACTCTGGGGGGCCTAGATGGGCAGATCACCTGAGGTCAAGAGTTGGAGACAAGCCTGGCCAAAATGGTGAAACCCTGTCTCTACTAACAAACACACAAAAATTTGCCAGTCATGATAGCAGGCTCCTGTAATCCCACCTACTCAGGAGGCTGAGGCAGGAGAATTTCTTGAACCTGGGAGGTGGAGGTTGTAGTGAGCCAAGATTGTGCCACTGCACTCCAGCCTGGATGACCGAGTGAGACTGTCTCAAAAAAAAAAAAAAAAAGAGAGAGAGACAGAAAGAAACATATGAAGAAAATGAAATCTTTAAATTGGAAAGAAGAAAACTATCTGTATTTGCAGACCATATGATTGTCTTTGCAGAAACTCCAGAATATACTGATAAATTATTTGGACTAGTAACAGAGTTTGCAAGGTTTTTGAATTCAAGATCAACTTAAAAAAAATCTATTAGCATTCCTGTACATCAGAAATTAACAAATTAGAAAATGTAATAGAAAAAGAGACTCTATTCACAATAGCAACAAAACCCTGAGAATATATATAGCAAAATGTACACAGACCTTTCATGAAAAGTATTGCTATAGCCGGAATGTGTCTCCCAAAATTCCTGTTAAAACTTAATTGCCAGGATGATAGTATTAAGTGGGACCCTTAAGAAGTGAATAAGTCATTAGGGGGAGCCCTCATGCATGAGATTAGTGCCTTATAAAGGGCTTGAGGTGGTGGTAAATCTGTTCCTTCTGCTTCATGAGAACATAGCATTTGTCTGCTACAGAGGAACCAGCATTCAAGGTACCATCTTGGAAGCAGACACCAGTCCCTCACTAGACACCGTACCTGCCAGAGCCTTGATCTTCTTCTTCCCACCCTCCAGAACTAAGAGAATAACTTCTGTTGTTTGTAAATTACCCAGTCTCAGGTGTTTTGCACTACAAAAAGACTAAGACAAATATAAAAATTACCCATGGACTTAAAGGAAGAATGGAAATATATGCCATATATATTATGAATGGTAGGACTCGATGCTATAAACATATTACTTCTCACTGAATTAATCTACAAACTCAAGCACTTCCCAGACAAATTCCAATAGAATTGTTTTTGGAACTTGACAGATTGATCTGAAAATTCATGTAGTCATTGAGGGGCCAAGAATAGTGTAGCTGGCCTGGTGTGGTGGTTCACACCTGTAATCCCAGCAGTTTGGGAGGCCGAGGTGGGCGATCACCTGAGGTCAGCAGTTCGAGACCAGCCTGACCAACGTGGTGAAATCCCATCTCTACAAAAAACACAAAAATTAGCCAGGCGTAGTGGCGTGTGTCTGTAGTCCCAGCTACCTGAAAGGCTGAGGCAGGAGAATTGCTCAAACCTGGTAGGTGGAGGGGGTAGTGAGCCAAGATCGAGCCATTGCATTCCAGCCTGGGTGACAGAGTGAGACTTCGTCGGTGGCTCACACCTGTAATCGCAGCACTTTGGGAGGCCGAGGAGGGCAGATTACAAGGTGAAGAGATAGAGACCATCCTGGCCAACATGGTGAAACCTCGTCTCTACTATAATACAAAAAAAAAATTGGCTGGGCATGGTGGCACACGCCTGTAGTCCAAGCTACTCAGGAAGCTGAGGCAGGAGAATTGCTTTATACCAGGTGACGGAGGATGCCATGAGCTGAGATCCTGCCAATGCACTACAGCCTGGGTGACGGAGCAAGACTTCGTCTCAAAAAAAAAAAAAAAAAAATGGGGAGGAGACTTTGCAAACAACAATCTTGGGTCAGGGGCCATTTTGGAAGCATCTGGCCAAGCTCCGCTTCCTGTCCGAATATGGAGAAGGTAAATGGCAAGGAGTGGACCTCCACAGAGAAGGTGAGGGAAGAGGATCAGCAGGCTTCTAATCAACCAAACACAATTGCTTTGCCGGGAACATCAGCGAAGGGGGGAACCAAAGGAAAAGTATCTGTTAAAGGTGACAAAGTGCTCTGCCCTAAGAAGAAGGCAGACTGTGATACCCCCAGACCTCAGAAGAAGATACCAATCCCTCCCTTACCCTCTAAACTGCCACCTGTTAATCTGATTCACCGGGACATCGTACGGGTCTGGTGTCAGCAATTAAAGCTGAGCACCAGAGGCCAGAAACTGGATGCATATAAGCGCCTGTGTGCCTTTGCTTACCCAAACCAAAAGGATTTCCCTAGCACAGCAAAAGAGGCCAAAATCCGGAAGTCATTGCAAAATAAATTAAAGGTGGAAAAAGGGAAAGCGTGCCTGCAGAGTTCTGGGACACAGCCTCCTCAAGTGGCCCTTCCCGCTGCGGAGGGGCTGCCTGCTCTGGAAGGGTCCACTGCTCTCCTTGAGGGAGTTAATATGGTTGTGGTGACAACTTCTGCCCCAGAGGCTGTGCTGGCCTCCTGGGCAAGAATTTCAGCCAGGGCAAGGACGCCAGAGGCAGTGGAACCTCCACAAGAAGCCAGTGGTGTCAGGTGGTGTGTGGTCCATGGGAAAAGTCTCCCTGCAGACACAGATGGTTGGGTGCACCTGCAGTTTCATGCTGGTCAAGCGTGGGTTCCAGAAAAGCAAGAAGGGAGAGTGAGTGCGCTCTTCCTGCTTCCTGCCTCCAGTTTTCCACCCCCGCACCTTGAAGACAATATGTTGTGCCCCAAATGTGTTCACAGGAACAAGGTCTTAATAAAAAGCCTCCAATGGGAATAGAATATCAGGAAAAAGGCCATATCTATGATAATTAATGGCAGAAAGTCTGGAGAGTCGGATTCTGTGGTGCTGCCGACAGGTGAACTTGGTCCTATCCACATCTGCTTACGGTCCATGCAGACTGCTGGGGTGGCAGATCTTAGCCTACGACTCCTAGCAGTGCCTGTTGCTTTGTGAGTAGAGATATGATAGACTCTTGCATTTAAAAATGGGAAAACATTTCACAAAGCACCATAAATTGTAGTTAATATGTAGAAAAACTTATTCATACTACCTTTCTAAAATAGAAAAGACTTCAGCAGCTGTTTTGTTTTGTTCTGTTTTGTTTTATTTATTTATTTTTTTTGAGACAATATCTTGCTCTGTTGTCCAGGCCTGGTGTGCAGTGGTGCGATCTCAGTTTGGTGCAAACTCCGCCTCCTGGGCTCAAGTGATTCTCCTGCCTCAGTCTCCCGGGTAGCTGGGGTTGCAGGCACCTGCCGCCATACCCAACTATTTTTTTATTTTTAGTAGAGTTGCGGTTTCACCTTGTTGGCCAGGCTGGTTTCAAACTCCTGACCCTCGAGTGATCCACCCACCTCACCCTCCCAAAAAGCTGGGATTATGCGAATGAGCCACTGTGCCTGCTCTCAGCTGAGAACTTCTTCAGCTGAGCATTGGAAGGAATTGAGTAAAACAGTAGTTTGTTCCTGTGCTCAATTTTTCCTCCTCTGGACACTGACGACTTTAGGAGCTGCTTCATTCCAATTGCAATTTCATAAAACATTTCATAAGAAGTATTTTAAGGCAAAGAAAGGCTGTTAATTCTCTCCCTCCCTCAAAACATGATTCTTAATATTCAAAACAATGTTTTTCAGAGTTCTCTTAATCTGAGATTTTTATGGTGTGACTACAGAATCAAAACACAAGGCACTTTGTATTATTTCACTTAAAATTTTGTATATTTCTGGTGTTTAAAATGTTTAAGGCCGGGCGCGGTGGCTCAAGCCTATAATCCCAGCACTTTGGGAGGCCGAGGCGGGTGGATCACGAGGTCAAGAGATCGAGACCGTCCTGGTCAACAAGGTGAAACCCCGTCTCTACTAAAAATACAAAAATTAGCTGGGCATGATGGTGCGTGCCTGTAGTCCCAGCTACTCGGGAGGCTGAGGCAGGAGAATTGCTTGAACCCAGGAGGCGGAGGTTGCGGTGAGCCGAGATCGTGCCATTGCACTCCAGTCTGGGCAACAACAGCAAAACTCCGTCTCAAAAAAAAATAAAAAATAAAATAAAAAATAAAATAAAATAAAATGTTTAAGATTGCTTCCCCACTCAGAAATACATAATATATTGAACTTAAAATGTGTTTATTAACCAATTCTCCATAAACAAATATGTATAGAAAATAATTCATCTGTTGTATTTAGGGAACTGTATTCACTGCATGCAAATTATTGTTAGTGTTCTTAACTCAAAGTAGGAGGAAAGCGAAACATGATTTTTCTTTTGCATTACTCATTGGTTTTTTTCTTTATTAGTTGGTGGTGTGGGTTGGATCATATGTTTTTTTAAAAACTACTTACTTAGGTGTAATTGACATACAAAAAGCTGTACATATTTAATGTATCTTATTGAGTATAATTAATTTTTATTTTTGTGTGTGTGTACTTCCTAAATTTATAATCCTGTGAGTCTGGGAACAGATCTGTTTTTCACTTGTCCTGATTTAATGACAGTTTCCAACATTGTTTTGTTACTACAAGTAGGGATCTATTTTTTTTTCCACCTTCAATGAAGATAATAAAAATGCACTGGAAGGAGTGGCAGAGTTGGACAATTTGTAACCATTATAATATAGATATAATAGGTTGGGAAAGAATCCTCAAAAATGTTTGAACAAGGAAGGAAAGTTTATTGAGAAGCAAGATATTCTTCTCTCCTGACCCCCATTCGTCTCTGGTGGTCAGAGTTGTTCAGTGTAATAAATAATAGACATTTTTTCTTAAAAAAAAAAAAAATAGTGCAGCAGACACTGTTCGTGCCGTCCCTATGGCCCTCGGCATTGCCAGCCACATACATGCCAGGGGCTGGTGCCTTCGAGAGCACCCTCAGTGTATTCATCATGCCTTTTCATTTCCTGTATTTCCTGAAGTATTGAGAGCTGGGGCCTTGCTGATCCTGGAGAGACCGCTGCACCCAGGGTGAGCCAGTTCCTAGAAACAGTAAAGGACTCACCTGCAAGTACACCTTCCATCTGCAAACCAGCCAATCCAAAGCCCATACTCCCAACTACCTCCTTCGTCAGGCTCTTACACTGGGCCACTGTCCAACTGCCCTCATCACCCCAGGGCCATGAACCAGAAAACTAGGAACAGCCCTATGCCCCAGAGCTGAGTAAAATTATTCAAACTATTAATAGCTAATCCTGTCCCTGCTTACCCTGCCTTGCCTTGCCTTTCCCTTGGATGCCACAAATAAAGCTCCTGCCCACATTTTCCCCTAGCTCCTTTGACTTCTTGACTGATCCTGGTGCCTCTCCCTGTATCCCTGCATAGCATGGATTGGCACTTCTTTCTAGGGACCTCTGAGTATCAAAAACTCCTTCCTTCAGGACAGTCATTTCCATATCTGTGTGTCTTAATATATCTGATTAAAGTAAATTTTGTGTCCATTTTAAAATAGCCATGAGGAACGGGAGTTGGTGCATAAATACTACAGCTTCCCCGCCCCTCAGCTGCAGTATCTTTGAAGGGCCTAGTGAGTTTGAGCCCCAGTTACCTTTTGTGGCAACCTGCTCATAAATGCACCATCTGTTGGCTTTTTTCCCTTCCTTATCTCACTTCCCACCCTCTTACCTGTGCTTCTTGGAAGCACCTTCTTAAAAAATGCTTGTACCTGCATTCTTGACTCAGGCTTTGCTTCTAGCAGAACTTAAATGAAGATATTTTCAAAGAATAAGAATGGCATAGAGATCAGTGGGTAAAGGAAGTTTGAAGATTTGTGTACATACTATGATGGTAAAGGAATTAGGACAGTGAAGTGTTCAGGGGATGCACAAATCAGCCACTGGAAGAGAAAAGGAACCCAGCAAAAGACCCATGACACATGGAAACTTGAGACAGAAGTTGCCCTGTAGCTTACTGGGGAAAGGACGGAATATTCTACAAATGGTGTTTGCACAATTGACTATCCATATGCAAAGTAAATACGACTAGATCCCTAGTTCACATCATATCAAAAATAAAAGCCAGTTGATTAAAAATCTCATTGTGAAAGGCAAAACTTTGAAAGTGGGCTGGGCGTGGTGGCTCACGCCTATAATCCCAGCACTTTTGGAGGCCAAGGTGGGTGGATCACGAGGTCAGGAGCTGAGAACAGCCTGGCCAATATGGTGAAACCTCACCTCTACTAAAAATACAAAAATTAGCCGGGCATGGTGGCTTAAGCCTGTAGTTCCAGCTACTCAGGAGGGTGAGGCGGTAGAATCTCTTGAAGCCGGGAGCAGAGGTTGCAGTGAGCCAAGATCATGCCACTGCACTGCAACCTGGGTGACAGAGTGAGACTCTGTCTCAAAAAACAAGAAAACTTTGAAACCATTTATTTATTTATTTATTTATTTATTTATTTATTTTTTGAGACGAGGTTTCACTCTTGTTACCCAGGCTGGAGTGCAATGGCGCGATCTCGGCTCACCGCAACCTCCGCCTCCTGGGTTCAGGCAATTCTCCTGCCTCAACTTCCTGAGTAGCTGGGATTACAGGCACACACCACCATGCCCAGCTAATTTTTTGTAGTTTTAGTAGAGACGGGGTTTCACCATGTTGACCAGGATGGTCTCGATCTCTTGACCTCGTGATCCACCCGCCTCAGCCTCCCAAAGTGCTCCCACATGCTATGCTGGGATTACAGGCTTGAGCCACTGCGCCCGGCTTTTGAAAGCATTTAGAAGGAAACGTAGGGGGATATCATTATGATTGGGGCAGTGTCTTAGTTTGGGCTGCTCTAACAAAATGCCATAGACTGGGTGGCTTAAACAACAAACACTGATTTCTCCCAGTTCTGGAGACTAGATGGCCAAGATCAGGGTGTCAGCATGGTTGGTTCTTGAAGGTGGGCCCACCTCCTGGTTCACAGAGGGCCATCTTCTTGTAGCCTCACATGGCAGAGAGCGAGAAAGACAGGAAGCAACTGTCTTGTATTCCCCCCACCCCCTTTTTTTTTTCCAAGGCTGTCTCACTCTGCTGCTCAGGTTGAAGTGCAATGATGCTAACCCGGCTCACTACAACCTCCGCCTCCCAGGTTCAAGCAGTTCTCCTTCCTCAGCCTCCTGAGTAAATGGGATTACAGGCACCTGCCACCACACACAGCTAATTTTTGTATTTTAGTAGAAATGGGGTTTCACCATGTTGGCCAGGTTGGTCTCGAACTCCTGATCTCGTGATCTGCCTGCCTCAGCCTCCCAAAGTGCTAGGATTACAGACATGAGCCACCTCGCCCAGCCTGATTCTTTTTTTTTTTATTTAAAATTTTACTTTAAGTTCCTGGATATAAGTATAGAACGTGTAGGTTGGTAACATGGGGGATATGTGTGCCATGGTGGTTTGCTGCACCTATTAACCCATCATCTAGGTTTTAAGTCCCACATGCATTAGCTATTTGTCCTAATGATTCTTTAATAATACTCTGAATGATGGCAGTTGGCTCAAGCCTACCAGATTTAGGTCCTGAGTGAGGCTGGGGGCAGGCCTGTACCTTTATTTTTAAATTTATTTAATTTATTTTATTTTATTTATTTATTTATTTATTTTTGAGACAGAGTTTCACTCTTGTTACCCAGGCTGGAGTGCAATGGC